CTGATTCCCATCCATTGTACTTGTTTTTCTATTCAATTAGTTTCCATTGTATTGTAAGTTTAACTGTCTCTGAAGATTCATCATATTGATACATATTTATCAATATGATAACTATGTTTATTTTGGGGGGAAGAGCAAGATATTCCTTTGAGTTAGTATTGACTCATTGTGATTGCCTGGATTAGTTCCTGTACTTTTCTTGGCAAGATTTTTGATAGTGATTTCCTCCTTCCTAGGGCTGAGAGACAGTGACTCTTGCAGTGTCATCTAATTGGCTTCGTGCTTAAGATAAAACTAGAACTCATAGTCTCCCAGTTTCTAGATTGATGTCTTAACTACTATACCAAACTAGTGAATCTTTAACAAGAAAAACAGACTGTTCTTACAAACAAATGTGAGACCATCTGTAACACTTTTTTAAAAAATCGATAAATTGTGCAGCCTATAGACTAAAAACCTCACCAATAAATACTGTTGGATATGTCATGGGAGAGAGAAGGTAGAAAACTGACCAAATATAGATCAATGGTTTAAGAAGAATTTTAAGAATTGCCTCCTTATTTTGATTGAAATGCAAACATTGGAAAAAGATTTCTTACCTTTGATTACCCAAAATAAAATCTGAACTAGCAGTCTGTTATATCCTGATTGACAGAGCAGATGCAGGATGCTGCAGAGAGACCCGGGCAGACCACGTGGCTGCCCGGGCCAGACAGGCTGTCTCCAGCCTATTGCGCACACGCAAAGCGGGAAAATACCTTGCATTTATTGGCTGACACTGTCCCTGCAAAAGGGTATAAAAGGGATCTGCACCATTTTGTGTTGGTTCTGTTGAAGCTTTAATAAAGAAGCAACTATTGTTACTCCTGCCTCATCTCAATGCCTTACCAATGCATGGAACACAATCCTTCACCAGTTTTTAAAAAACAGAGTTGACGTCCAGCTATATAGAGCACATTATAGATTAGGTACAAGGGTTAAAGTTTTCTATATGTGGGAGAAAAGCAATGTTTTTTTTTTCCACTCAACTTAAACATCTATGGAAAATCCTCTGAAATCATAGAATAGATTTGAAATACAGCAGTTGCAAAAAGAACATTACATTAGATTTCTGGCTCCATTTTATTTAGTGAAAATGTCTACTGGATCAAAATTTGGAAAAATAAAAGACCAATCCAATATTGAATTTTAAAGTATTTTCTAAATAGAAAAACAACTGAATCATATCAGACAAGCTAGTATAGACTAAATTCCAGTTTTTAACAATGACTAGCTAAATAATCTTTGAAATCATATATTTAGGTCATGAAAGAAATATCCTTTCCTCCCCCTTTTTAGTCATCAACTTCAATTCATCCTCATGCTTAGTCTCTTTTACTTTTTAAGTAGCTGTCATTCTTTTATATACTGTTATAGTTTATACCACAGTATTATAGTTCTTATAGTTACAATGTTAAACTTAATGTAGTGTACATCTGTATTTTAAAGATATTTGGATTTTTCATTTCATGATAGTTATTTATCTTATCATTAGTATTAACCAAATTATATAAGTCTACCATGTTCATTTTTATCTTCATAATTTGACTATAATTTGATAATGAGAGTGATGGGAAGGGGATGTCAGAGCCTCTGGCCCTTTGAGGGAGAATGAGGGAGATGTAGGGAAGGACAATATATCAGAGTTTGTGATGGGCATGGGCTACTGTGGGTGCCAGGGGGTGGGCCATTATAGGGGGAAATGGTAGATCCCTCTGCTTGTATTCTTGTTTTAACAGGAGTTAAACAAAGATGCATATCTTGCTTCCTTCTTTAAAACTTTTATATCTATTCTATAGTCCAAGTTCTATATAAAACTAATGTTTAATTTCCACACTCAGCTAATGAATGCCTGTTTATTAATATTTATATTATATGTATACTTTTATTCATGTATTGGGATTCTGCTGAAGTGAGTTTTGTCTTTGGTGGCAAAAAACAAACAAATAAAAAATAGAAGTAGATGTGCACAAAATTGATTTTCTTGATGTTGGGACATAGAACAAAAGCTCTAGTAATTAGAGTAGATCACAAGTCTAATGCAAGGCTGCAATTTCTAAAAAAATGTATATTTCTGTAATCTAATCTCATTCAGTGAATATTTATAACTGTGGTGTCTCTTTCAGGAACTACTGCATGAAATCATCTGGCAATGGGAGAAAGTAGCAATCAAACAGTGGTGACAGAATTCATGTTTCTAGGATTCAAAACTTTCCACCATTTCTAATTCAAAATTCTTCCTGAACTTCAGATTCTCCTCTATGTGGTGACAGCACTACTTGGAAACACCATAATAACTACAAACATGTTTATTAATCATAATCTTCAGAAACTGATATATTTCTTTCTGGGAAACCTGTCTTTTTTGGAGATTTACTACAGTTCTTCTTATCTCATTGGGGTTACAATTTCTGTGGAACCCTCAAGATTGTTTACAGATTATCAAAAAGCAGAACAGTCTGAACAAAGTGTTCTCTCTCCCCCCCCCCTTTTTTTTTTTTACATAGTCCTGTAATTAACCTCTTTATTTACAGCTTGAGAAACTGAGAATTTAAGGATGCTCTCAGGAAAACCATTAGCGTCTAGACAAGATGGGTGGCACACAAATCTAATAAATAAAAATAACTAAATATTATCACATCTTGAAGTAAAATTTAAAAAAATCCAATGATATTAAAAATATATGTGTTTATCTAATAATTAAGGCTTGGATAATTATTAGAACATTCTCCAGGACATTAACAAAAGCCTTTTAGAATATCTTGATTGTAATTTCAAGATTTCTATTTTTTTCACCTTTGAGATTCAAATGCCTCATTTGTAAGTTTTATATAAATTAAGGATAGATATTCAAATCCCACAAACAAAACATTTCAAATTACAGATGGGATTGATATATGACATTTGTTGTTAAAAAGAAAAATCTGAGTGGAAGAAAACAAATTAAAACTTAATGACTGGGGGAAACTCTCATCTTAATACTTTCTTACTATTGTACATCCTTTGCATGAAATTGTGTGTGCTTACCTAAAGAAGCATAAAAACATTTTGTTTAAACATTCTGTTTCCTCCAACTGTTTTGATAGTATCTTGATGCAGATGTGGTATTTCCATACCAATATTTTCCCTTTCCTTTAGAGCATTAGAATGGATCTCATTCCACGCACTATTTTTATCAAAAATATTGAAGAATGTGAATTGAACTGCATCCTTCCTTCCACAATACATGGCAATTTTCAGAGTGTGATTGACCACTTTATCAAGTGAATAGCTCCCTCATTGATCAAATGAATGGTTCCCTTATTGACCACATGATAATGAGACAGCCATTCATTTTGACACTCCAAAATTTGGCTCTTCTTGGATCCAGTCAAAGAAGGAGCACAAAAATTGCCAGTGACTTCTAGTCCAGCATGATCTTAACAATAACAAAACAAAACTGCACAAAAACAGTGATTGGAACTCAATGACAGCCTTTGAGCTGAGCACTAAAGTCTTCTGGGGATAGTTAATTCAATATTCTGGTGTTTGGAAACACTTTTAGGCAACCTAGTGTTTATTTCAAGCTTTTAGAATATAGTGTTCAAAGATTATAGAATTAAGCTTTAAAAAATACCCCTCACATGGTTTTTGACATGCTCATTAGAATATCTCTCCCATTTATTTGTAGCTTATTTTATGCTGAGGAATTCTTGCTTTTGGATATTTTAATAAAATTTACTATGATAATTATCCTAACAATTGAATAAACATTTCCTCAGAAATGACATATATGTTTTTCTTTTGTATGGTGGTCAGTGAGTTTTTCTTCAGAAATTTGTATGGTATATGAATTAGCTCATACTTTTTCTGAAAAAAATTTCAAAATGCACCTGGTTATCAGGAAAAACAATAACACTGATATTAGTTGTATAAAATGATGCAGTTCCTGTACATGCTTATATATTTCATCCTCCATCAACCCTAGGCAGAGTTGCCACTGAATTGTAGACGAATACGATCTCTTTCAACTTAATGTGAGTATGATTATTTGGGGAATATTTTCTTTATGTACACACAAAGAGGGACTGGGATTGTATACTCAGTCAACCTTGTGCCAGTTCCTGAAAAGGCAGACTTAAAGTTCTTACTTTTCCCCCAGAATCTCTACTTACTGAGCTTTAAGGCTAAGAATATGAGGTGGGAATAACATAATAAAAACCATGTATTATATTTTTATTTTATTTATCAAATTTAGAAACTGCCCAGAGGGACAATGGGTGGTGTACCAATAATATATTAATATATAATAATATATAACATCTCTGGGGGGAGAATGTTGCAAAGGACAGGGACAATGGCAGAGAAGGCTTTCTTCCTGGACTCTGATACTCAGAATTGTTTAGCCAATAGGTCCACAACATACCTTCCCTGTCTAACCAAATGGGACAGATCAAACTAATGAAATGAAGACAATTCTATAGATAACCTTTATTGTGCTTGAGGGAAACTTGTATAACAGAAAAAGAATTAGAGTACCATCATGACTTGTGTACCATGTTCTGCCACAGATGGATGGGTTTATAGTTCAGTTTAATGTCACAGATTATTGTGCATTATCCATCTGAATATGAATCTCCATATACTAACATATAACTCATGCCACATGCATATGTATATTTTGGAGATAAATCATAGAGGAGAGCATGCAGAATTTATATATTAAATTTTTTCAATGAACCTTAAACCTTTTTAAATTTGCAAATAAAAAAGTAGCATATTGAAACTCCAAAGCACATTTATTTTCCAAAGGCCTTGAAAAAATTTATAATGGATACTGTAAGGGTAGTTACAAAATTGTAACTTTTAATGAGATATAAGAGCAAAATATATTTTTCATCATGCATGTCTTTATCTTTTAGCCCTTAAACAATTAGACCATTATTAGGCTAATTGTGAGTCAGAAGGCTCACAGACTAGATATGGACTCTTTGCTATTAGCAAAAATAAAACCATATACAACCAGAATAGTAGTGCAATATCAGAGGTAAACACATATTTATTGCTCTATTATCTGTGATACAACACAGATGATAGATATTTCACCATTGTCTTAATGACTTTAAAATATATTAATCTATACTAGTCTTGGATCTACAGGTTCCTGGCTTGTCATTTTCATTCTTTGTAGTAATTCCTTTCATAATTTTCTTTTTTATGTTGTGAAAGGGAAAAAAAAATCTCATTTTATCAAATGTTAAATTTACTAGGTTGTTTGAGCCAAGTTGATTGGAAGAGCACCAGGGACAGAATACAAAGTTATGACTACTTGAAAAGTGTTCAAACTACCTTTAATTGTAAAATAAATGCTGATGTATAATATATCAAATGTTCAGCAAATTGTTTTACTCCTTCATTTGCATCTCTTGTGAGTTTAAACATATATTTTCTCTATATCTCCCATATAGTGGGTGACTAGACTCGACTAGTGCCTTATAGCTGGAATTTTCAAATGAAAATATTTTATATCATTTAACTCACACTTGTTGCTATTTAAAAATTCCCGACTACACCAAAATAATCCACATGTACAGCGAAGGAGCTCTGGAACTATTATAGTGTCATCTTTACTATCTTTTATTCTTTATTTTTATTTCTTATTATGTGTAGTTTTTAAAATGTAAGAGTTCAGTGGATGTAAGTTTTCAGTGGAAATTGCTGAAACAAACTATGCTAAGGTTATGGACAGGTTTCTGAATACCAAAAGTAGTAACTACTTGAACCTTCAAAAACCGTCTCTTCCAAAACCAGAATTATTTCTATCCATTTGAATAGTGCCATACTGACTAATTCATTCTTCTGGCATCTAAAGAAAAATAGCATCACACATAGAAATGCAGTAAAATCCTCCAATATTTAAAATATGAAATTGCATGTGATTGTATACTTTACTCACTGTACAAAATTCCAGTTATTTAATTATTTAAAATAGTTCAATTAAAAAAGAATAATAAGTATCTGCCAAGTAACATCCCAGATTAAATAACTATTGATAAGAAAGACAAAAAAACTTGAGTTGACAATATCTAGAGCAGCAGAATAGAAGAAAAATAACTGGAGAAAAATCATAAAATACAAAGATTTGCTAATAAAAGTAGAATGACTGTGGCTAAATAAAGCAAAAATAGTACTAATAGTAACAGTCACCTTAGGTGCAATCTCAAAACATCTGGAGCACCACTTGAACACCATCCACATTGACACAATCATCATGTCAACTGCAAAAGATAGCTTTACATGGACAGCTTTCATCCTGATATTTTAAACTCATCTCCCTATCCTAGGTCTTTGGAAAGGACTCAATAGGTAGATAAGAATGCTAAATCCATTCTAAACATGTGACTGACTGTGCAACAAACAACAATAATAATAATATAACAATAGCACCAAAACTTTGTAATGGTATAGTGGAATATTTTCTGAAAATGTTTCTTTCCCACAGAAATATCTGAAATCTTTAGGTTATTCAAAGAAAAAAAACTGAGAAGAAAAATGGTAAGAATCTATGTAATTTATTTATTACCTGAAACATGTCATTGTTTACTGCCTTCAGAATTATGGAAATTTCAGCTTAATAAAAGTGAAGTATATGACTTCAACATTTCCTTTTGCAACTCCAGAGTTTCTTGTAATCATGATTGCTGAAAATGAGAATTAGTTTTTGACCCTTCGGTAGCCCTAAAGCAGTGGGAAAAAGGACACCAAAATGTCTTATATCAACTTCAAACCTTTACACTTAGACAATGTGACTGTCCTCTCAGTGATACTTAGCATCTATTTCTTCATGCTAAACGATATTGAAGATACCTAAGATCTTATTTTAAAGGTATTCTTCTCTTTTTTTTAGTTTTATATATAATGTATGGAAAGTATTATATGTATTGAAAATTCAAATATTTTTTTTTTAAAAAAGGACATTGAAGATATTGCACTGTCAGGAATTAATTGAACAGTATGAAATCTGACTGAATTTGTTGTCAGTGCAAAATTTATAAAATCTCTCTCTCTCTTTTTCAAGGACGGATTTTCTAAACTGTCAGCTTCTACCAGCAGGTAAAGAAAATATTATAACATTCTCTCTTGATTTATATTTATTGAAACTGCAGGTATAAACCTTAATGCTAATTTGCCCCATCAAAGTGACAATCTATTAACATTTGAATTATATATCCAATCATGTCAATATTTTGCCAAGAAGGGAGGATATAAATTCCATAACTGTTACAATATGATTATGATATTTTTATATATGTATTGAACGCCCAACTGAAATGACTCACAATGAACAACTATGATCCTGATCCTAGAACAACCCCAGATATCAGAGGAATCTACTAAATTACAATTAGCTTTTAGGTGGTTGATCTGTCAGATAAGAAGTGGTTCTATCCATTAGTTCAACTTTTGGTTTCAGTAAAATATGTTCATAAAGTGTCTTTAACATTTTGATTAGTGTAATTTCTATTAATATTGATTAATCAGCATCATTATATATTAATGCATGTTAACAAACATATGAGAATTAATATTGACTTCTGCTACTCAGCTGACACCTGCTCTTGATGATGACCAAAGAGGATATTTGTCAATTATACTTCCTCTTTCTTCTTTTTAATTTACAAACCACTACATTCTCACTGTTCTAATTATCTCAATTTTCCCAGCCTATCTAATATAAGTTTATTACAGACTTGACATATGCTTTCTGAAAATTGAAATTGCAGATATAATCATTTAGAAAACAATTAAGAATTCAATCTTTGTTTCTAACTTTTTAATAACATGAACTACAAGCAAAAAAAAAAAAAAAAAAAAAAAAAACCCACACCAGCAATTGTATCTTTGGATGAACTCTTTGCCAACCAGTTAATAAATGTATGCAGGAAGCACATCACAGTAGTAATGGGAGACTTCAACTATCCAGATATCAACTGGGAGACAAACTCTGCAGTGAGCCAGAGATCAAACAGATTCCTAACCAACCTACTGACAACTTTGTCACCCCAAAGATGGAGGAGGGAACTAGATGCAAAGCTATACTGGACTTAATCCTTACAAATAGAGAAGACGTGATAGAGGGAATCAAAATTGCTAGAACCTTGCGTGAAAGTGACAATTTAATATAATGCAAACACTAGCGATAGAAAACAATCCAACCAATGTCCTAAACTTCAAAAGAGCTGACTTTGACAAGCTCAAAGGACCTAGGAAACTTCCCATGGATGAAAATCCTAAAGGGGAAAACAACCCAAAAAGTGTGGGAACCCTGAAAAACACAATCAAAAAAGCCCAGATTGGCACAATACCATTGAGGGGAAAAAACAAGAAATCCAGGAAGAAACAGCATGGCTGCACAAAGATCACACTAACAAATTAAAAGACAAAAAGGACAAATACAAAAAATAGAAAGAGGGGCACATAACCAATGTGGATTATTAGCAGACAGCCAGAACACGCAAAGAAGAAGTCAGGAAAGCAAAGGCTCACAATGAACAAAGACTTGCAACAGAAATCAAGGACAATAAAAAAAGTAAACACATTAACAACAAGAAAAAAGTCGATGAAACTGTAGGCCCACTAAAGAGAGAAGATGGCAAGGAAATTACAGGCAACAGGGAGAAAGCTGAGCTGCTTAACTCAACTTTACATCAGTTTTCACACAAAAAGAAACCATAGCCCAACACACACACACACAAAAAAAAGCTACTGCGAAAAACACACTAGAAACAAAAATCAAATGGTAAGAGAACATCTATCCAATCTTAATGAACACAAATCACTAGGACCTGACAGATTACATCCCAGAGTTCTGAAAGAGCTGGCAGATGTTATCTCAGAACCATTGTACCACATCCTCCACAAATCCTGGAGCACAGGAGAAGTAGCTGAGGATTGGAAAAGGTCCCCATCTTCAAGAAATGAAAAAATAAAACAGGCCCAGGAAACTATAGACCAATCAGTTTAACATCAATATCTGGGAAGATCCTAGAAAAAATAATCAAAAAACTGAGAAACAATGGTTGGAAGCTGATCAAAGAGAGAAGCAACCTGGAATCAAAGAGAAACTTCCTGACAGTGAGGACAATCAACCAGTGGAACAGCTTACCCCCAGAAATCGTGAGCACTCCGTCGCTAGATGTTTTTTAAAAGAGACTGGACAATCACCTGTCTAAGATGGTATAGGTCCTCTGCTTGAGCAGGGGGCTGGACTAGAAGGCCTCCAAGGTCCTTTCCAGTTCTATTCTATTCTATTCTATTCTATTCTATTCTATTCTATTCTATTCTATTCTATTCTATTCTATTCTATTCTATTCTATTCACACTTGAAATCTTTAAATGACCTTGTAGATAAGGAGTGTTTGAACAATGAGTGATTTCTGCCTTTCTGTATTTCTTTCCAAATAGTGGCCTTATCCGGATTTCCAGAGATATATCAAACCATGAAAAACAACATGTAGAAGCAAGAAAATGCACAGTGAAAAAATGTCTTCAGAAGCATGACATTGAATGTTCCATGGTAAAAATTGATACTCTATACTGACATGCAGCCTCTTTTTTTTTCAAACCATGAGATTTTAATGGTATGCTAAGAGTGTTGGGGAAGGGGACGAGCCAGAATTTACTTTAATTTAATGTTGATTTAATTTAAGTTAAACCCCTTAATAAGCAACATAATGATATACTGCATAGTAAATCACTATGTAGTAAATCACTTTTTTTCCCTACATTCAAACACAATTCAGAAGCAAACTTGAAAGACCTTAAAGGGCTACAACTAGGAGTTCGGAGACACAAGAGGAGCTGTACAGCATATGGCTCTTTGGTAGGGAAAGCAAGAAACAAATGGCTCCATTGTTGATAAAATCACCAATAGTGATCTACTTAAAATGTGTTTGGGGAAAGCATATGTCAAGTCCATACATAAACTTATATTGTAGTCAGGCTGGCAAAATTGAGGTTGAACTAAAATTTATTAAAATTGGTTAAAGAAAAGATTTAAAAAAGTTAGATAACAGTAGGCCAGAAATAAATGGATCCACATGAGAAATTAAAAGGAAGAATGAATTGGGAAAGTAGGAAACAATGAAAAATATTTGAATGAATCTTAAATACATTTCAACAGCAGCTTGATAATTGAGAAAAGTGAATTTTTGTGCTGAATTCATACAAGGTAGTAAATCATGCCTTGTTTCATGATAGTTTGTTGATGAAGTTATAATAGTTGGGTTCACACTACATGCTAAGCTATAAACCATAGTTTACAAACTGTAAAAACTGGCTTGATACAATACATTTAGCCACATTAACAAACATTATTACATATTAATAAGTGTCTGAGTACAGTCTGAGTTTGGAATTTGTGGTACAAAAAGCAATGATATTCATAGGTCATTTTAACTTTTTGTGATTAGTTACACATGAACAGAATCATTTCACAGATGGAAACAGAAGAGAAAAAGTAGTAGGAGGATGACATACTAAATTTCAAAAGACAAAAGACACATTATGTTATGATATTAGATCTAAAATTAGGTTCTAAATTTTAAGGCTATCACAAATGACTTTTGCCATTGGTTTTATGTGTCCCTATCTTGAACTGAATTGGAAATAAAAGATATGTATTTAGATATATATTATCCTTTGTGTTAAATAAAAATTAATAACAATAACACATGGAAATCTTTTCAACTTATTTTAGATAAAGAGATATATGTATGCATGCATGTATGTATGTATGTAGTGTGTGGATCTATATATATATAATTAGAAAGGATATAGATATAGAAGATGATATATAAATATATAATATATGATTTCCTTTTCTGTTCATAAAATATTTAAGTGTTCAGTGTTTAACTTGTTAAAAAGTATTTAAATGACTAGTGCAGTGTTTCCCAAACTTGACAATTTTAAGGCTTGAGGACTTCAACTCCCAGAATTCCACAGCCAGCAACGCTGGCTATGGAATTCTGGGAGTTGAAGTCCACATGCCTTAAAATTGTCAAGTTTGGGAAACACTGGACTAGTGGATGTTATCAAAAGTAATAATTATTGCTCTGGTCCCAGGACAATGTCCCCAATATTGCCATACTGGGTTCAGGTGGAGGCCTGAGGGCTATGATTGCACTGCTGGGAACACTGGAAGAGATGCAGGAACAATGTCTTCTGGATACAGTGATGTATATTGGTGGAGTATCGGGTTCTACGTGGTAAGTGGCAACAAGTTATATTAGTGAATGATTTATACATTTATAGACATAGCAGCTGAACAAAAAGCAAAGGACCAGATAAAATTGTCTCTACCAATTCTGCAGGCTATAGGTGGGTGAATCTATGACATGGCAATTGCATTTCAGAGGGTAGAACCATAGCTGGAAGGAAAATAAATCACTTTTTCATTAAGCAACGCTTCTGAGTAAACCAACCTTAAATATCTGGCTAGTAGTTTCATATGTATATATTAGTCACTCCCACAGCCATCCAGATGGGAAGAACTCTTGCATGACCTATTTTCTCCAATGAGATATACATCAAGCCCACATGTCATTCTTTTTAACTTTCTGTTCAGAATTCTGATAACCACTATTTCCTGTTCCTGAAATAGGAACTAAAAAGATTATTGGGATTTCCTGGGACATATTTTTCTGGGCAAGAGCATGACTGCCACTATCTCAGGCAAAATAGAAAAGTTGGGAAATATGCCTTTTTCACCCTTAGTTTTCAGATTGGGTGTGATCCTCTGCCATTGCTGTGCCAACAGTTGTATCTATTTTCAAGGTGTATGTCATATGTTTATGAAACTGAAGAATGGAACAAACAGCTATAAAGTTTGGAAGATAAGTTGTGTCACAAACTGGTAAAGCCACTCCAGGACTGGAAGAAAGCCTTAAAAAGTCTGATTGAGTCAAGTAAAGATGACACATACTCCTTAACTGATTTTTGGGGTTATGTTATAGTTTACATAATAATGCATGAAGTGAGTATAAATAATTCCTTTTAAGAAATATTTTGTTGTTCCCTAGAAATATGATGGATGCTATAACCGTTTTAATTAATTTAAGAAGCAAACATGCAAATATTCTCAAAAAACAATACCTTTTGCATAACCCCCCCTTTTTTTTCACTATACCTTACCACAACTGTTTTAGGGAGGGAGGGAGGGAGGGAGGGAGGGAGGGAGGGAGAAAGAATAACAGACAATTACTTTCTTATGGAAGAAAGCAAAATGAAAATTATTAATCTAATAGTGGAAAAAATGAGATTATACTTAATATTATGGAGTGGAATGTTCCAATTCATTCTCTTCCATTCCATTCCATTTCAATTTCTCACTTTTTTTCTAAGAGTATCAGTAGTGAATATTCTAAGCATATGAAATTTTCATTGGACTCTCAGGAAGAAATCCTTTGTCTGTAAAGTTAAATGTGATAAAAGAGATTTTTTTCCTTTCTTATTTTAACATAGTAGCTTCAATTGAGAGAGGACTGATTAGTGGAATAACAGTATTTATAAAACTTAAGTCTTCCCTATACAGATCTACACTTGATTAAAATCCCTTTTCTAAAATAGACTTTTGTACTAACAGGACAATTAAAGTTTCCTTCAGCCTGTGCTTGATTTTTGCATGGAAGAGATTTTGCCATGAAAATTTCTAAGTAGCAGTACTGAAGTAATTTATCACAGGATTTATGCTCCAGGATTCCTTCCTCCCTCCCTCCCTCCCTCCCTCCCTTCCTTCCTTCCTTCTTTCCTTCCTTCCTTCCTTCCTTAGAGAGAATATGCTTGCACAAGCATGCTTATGTGCCTTGAATTCAATATTGACTCCTGGTCACTGCTTGGACAAGCCCTGAAGCTTTCTTGGCAAGATTTTGGAAGTGGTTTCCTCTTGCCTCCCACCCAGGACTGAGAGAGAGTGATTGTCCAAAATTACCCAGCTGGCTTTGTGTCTAAGGCAGGACAAGAACTCACTGTGTCCCGGAACTCACATATACCAAACTGCCTATTAAACCCATGTAATTTACATGAGATATTTAAATGGATTATTTGCTTATAAGCTTCTTTCTCAACAGCTGGATGATCATCATCTGTCTGATGAACAGAAAATTTGTAAGAATGGGATAGTGCCTTACCCAATCTATGCAGCAGTGGATTCAACCAAATTAGATGCTGCTGCAAGTGAAATCCACTCAGGTAAACATTAAAATCTATCTATGTTTATCCCAACTTTCACTTTGAAATCAATAAGTGCTGGAATATATATATATATATATATATATATATATATATATATATATATATATATATATATATGCCAAATTTTATAATCTTGTTGCCATAGTTGTTAAGTGAATCACTGCAGATATTAAGGGAATCACGCTGTTATTAAGCAAACCTAGCCTCCCCTATTGCTTTTTCTTGTTAGAAGCTGGCTGAGAAGCTCACAAATAGTGATCACATCACTCTGAGATGCTGCAACCATTGTAAATACATCCCTATGATTTCAAGCTCCCAAATTTTGATCATGTAATCATAGGGATGCAGTGATGGTCATAAGCACGAGGACTGGTTGTAATTGACTTTTTTAATGCCATTGTAAGTTTGAAAGGTTGCTAAATGAATTATTAGAAAGGGAAAATAACCTGTAAGAAATGACTCCAAACTTTGAGGGAATCTTCATGCAAAAACAGGATATTAAAAAAGATTCCCTGTTTTTGCAATCATAGTTTCAACATCTTCAAATTGTAATTTTTAATTATTTTAAAAGATATCTGGTTTGAATTTACACCACATGAGGTTGGATTCTTTAACCCTGGAGCATTTGTGGATGGGACTCTCCTTGGAAGCAAGTTTGAGAATGACAAACTGAAGGAAAAGAAGAATGAAAAGAAAATGTCTTATCTAAGAGGTAGCATTGTTTTTGATGGAGATATACTGATGTACAATATGCACAGACTACATGGAATCTTCAGTCCAGTTTGGAATATTGAACAGACTATTATACATAAATTATGCAAGGTTACTGATATGTTTGCAGCTGTGTTAGGGTCTTTGAGAGGCATTAGTGTATAAACTTATGGTTGAAACATCACAAATAAAATGTGGATAAATGCAATGATGCATACAAGAAAAAATATACTAGTGCTCAGTAGTGTTGGAATAAGGCTGCAATTTATGGCAATTCGGAAATAAACATGTGTTTGGTTATCAATGACAGATACTTGTAGATACAGAATTTTTACTATACACATTAGAAAACTACAACATTACTTTTTGACATAATCGCCATTCAAATTGAGGCACTTGTCATGTCTTATAAGGTTTGAAATTCCTTAGTAATAGTTGCCAGTGCTAAATCTGGGCTATTGGGGGGGGGGTGATCAAAAATACCACAATGGAACTTCTTCAAAAGTTCTTGGGTCTGTAAACGTGGGGTAAGATTATTGTGAACCAACACCACACCGGAAGTGGTGCCATAGAAAATCCCCCCAAATGTGAAGATGCCAAAGGAATACTGCTAGTGAAGTTCATGGAGCATGGTTTGACTATCAGTTCAGAAGTCTACTGTGAAATGTTACAAAAGCTCAGATGAGCCATCTATAACAAGCATCGGGGCATGCAGACTTCTGGTGTGAAGTTGGTTCACAATAATGCTTGCCTGCACACTGCTAGATGCACCCAAAATAAGAAAATAAGGTATTGTGATTTCAAAGAAAGGAACTATCCTTATAAGTAGCCTTATATAGCCATATACAATCACTAACTTTTTATATAGATATAAAACATGTTGGACAAAAGAAATGGAATTCAATGCAGCTTCTATTTATAAGAGTTATACCTACACCAGTTTTGAATAAGATGAAAGAATGTATATTTTGAGTCTGGAAATCCAGGCATAATACTTCTAAATGCAGGCTGACATCACTGGTTCCCAGAATGCTTTTAGTGTAGTAAAAACAGTTGTTTTGAGGTGATGGAAAGAATCAAAATAACAAATAACTCAGATGAGACATACAAGTGAATATCTGAAACTTCTCCAAATTATGTCCAAATTTTTAATATGACCAAGGGGCAAAATTATTAAATAAATATGTAATTTGAGATAGTCATATTAACTATATTTCTTGGTTTAATTTTAAATAGAATGGAATCATATTTACTTGTGTTTCAATTGCCATGTCTTGCTTTTGGAAGAATGGCCCACACATTGATCCAGAAAATGCAAGTTAGCCTTTCATTTAAACATGCTATCTGATATAACATATGCTTGCACATTTTGCTAAATTTCTAGAAAACTGTTTCTTTTCTTTCAGGATTATGGGGAAGTGCTATTGCAAATTTCAAAGAAGACATGAGAGTTTTAATAGGTATTTATATTTCATATTGGATGCAGTGAATAAATTAAGTTCTCACTTATGCCTTCTTATATGGAAATGTGATCACAGAAGAATTTAGAACAGAATGTGGATAGAATTGCAGCTTGAAGGAATGACTCATTGCTCTAGGGCAAAGGTCCCCAACCTTTTGGGCACCAGGGACTGGTTCCATGGAGAGAAGTTGTTCTGCGGACCGGAGGTGCATAGTTTTATGTGCTGACTGCATCCCGCAGATGGGGCTTTGCTTGTTTGTGTGGACCAGTTGCTGGCATGCTGTGGCCTGATACCGGTCCATGGACCGGAGATTGGGTACCCCTGCTCTAGAGCAAAGGGCAAAGGAAATTTCTTCATATAAAGTCAGATTGTTTTCCCAGATAAGCAGTGTCTATTGAAATACAGGTAACAAGGAGAAAGCAGAGCTGCTTAACTCATACTTCGCATGAGTCTTCACACAAAAAGAAACTATAGCCTAACATATTCCCCCCCAAAAAAAACAACCACCCAAAAAAGACAAACTAGAAATAAAAATGAAAATAAGCAAGAAAATGGTAAGAGAATACTATCCGACTTGATGAATATAAATCACCAGGACCCAACAGATTACATCCCAGAGTTCTGAAGGAACTGGTAGATATTATCTCAGAACCATTGCACCATATCTTTCAAAAATCCTGGAGCACTGGGGAAATACCTGAGGATTGGAAAAGGGCTGATGTGGTTCCCATCTTTAAGAAAGGGGAAAAAAAAACAGATCCAGGAAACTGCAGACCAATCAGTCTAACATCAATACCTGGGAAGATCCTGGAAAAGATAATTAAAAAAACAGATCTGCGAACAACTAAAAAGCAATCAAAATTATAAACAGTAGCCAGCGAAATACAGTGGACATAGACCGCAGTAAGACATTTGATGAAGTAGACCTTGGTAAGCTAGAAAAAGGTGGAACAGACAACATCACCACCAGATGGATCCGTAGCTGGCTGGCAAACTGTACTCTTCAATATCTTCATAAATGACTAAGATGAGAGAATTGAAGGGGAACTCATCAAATTTGCAGATGACATCAAACTGGCAGGAATAGCCAACACCCCAGAAGACAAATGCAGGATCAAAAAAGATCTTGACAAACTTGAACAATAGACCCTGGGCGAGACCTGGCATAAAAACAGTAACTGTGAGAGGGACCTTGGGGTCTTAGTGGACGATCACTTGACCATGAGCCAGCAGTGTGTAGCAGCAGCCAAAAAAGCTAATGCAATCCTTGTATAAACAGAGGCATAGAATCAAGATCTTGCAAAGTATTAGTACTGTTTATAAAACCGTAGTAAGAACATACCTGGAATACTGCAGCCAATTTTGGTCACCATATCACAAAAAAGATGTTTAGAGTTTGGAAAAAATTCAGAGAAGAGCAACTAAGATGATCAAAGGCCTGGAGACTAAAACATATGAAGAATGGCTGCAGGACTTGGGTCTGGCTAATCTGAATTAAAAAAGAAATAAGGGAGACATGATAGCAGTATTCCAGTACTTGAGGGGCTGGCACAAAGAAGATGGGGTCACATTATTCACCAAAGAGGATAGGGCAAGAAACAATGGTTGGAAACTGAGCAAAGAGAGAAGCAACCTGGAATTAAGGAGAAACTTCCTGAAAGTGAGAACAATTGACCAGTGGAACAGCTTGCCTCCAGAAATCATGGGCGCTCCATCACTGGAGATTTTTAAGAAGAGGCTAGACAGTCACTTTTCTGAGATGGTATAGGTTCTCCTGCTTGAGCGGGGGCCTGGACTAGAAGACCTCCAAGGTCCCTTCCAGCTCTATTCTATTCTACTTGAATATCTATAATAGAACAGCATTTTTCACAACTGGACATGATGGTATAAGTAACAACTGGAAGGCCACAGTTTTCTTCTGACTAGTGCACACTATTTAGTAGTGGCTTTCCAAAATTTCACACTGAGGTTTCTTCCAAACTTCTTCCAAACTTTCATAGCAGATGAGGGGACTGAACTGATTTTGGGTATATCCTTTAGCACTGAGCTATCCTCTCCATCACTCTGCTTACAGAAGTAATTGTGCTATAGCAATGGTTCTCAACCTTTTTAACGTCGTGACCCCAACCGGTCGTAAGTCGAGGACTACCCAACCAGTCGTAAGTCAAGGACTACCCAACCAGTCATAGGTCGAGGACTTTCCCTGCCCGGGAGCACCACACATGCATGGTGCCGCCCCCTGCACTGGCCGAGGCGTAGCTGGCAAGGGGCAGTGACGGCACAGGGCGACCACTGGCTGGGCCAATAGCTGGTCCAGCCCAAGGGAGGTAAGGCACCCACCAGGCCCCATGTGTGCCAGCAACCCTCCCTGTGCCTGCCGGCCTCCCATCTCCCACCCCTGGCCCTCTTTTACTTACATTTTTAGTAGCTACTCAGCAGGGAGGGGTGGAAGCTTCCAGACAGCTTGCCTTAGCGGCAGATAACTTACAGCACCGTTTGCAGACTGGGGCTTTTGGCGGGCTCAGCAGGGCAGAGACAGCCTGGACAATTCCTATTGGCTTTTGAAAGCCAATAGAATTAGACTCTATTCAAGAGAGTCTATTCTATTGGCTTTCAAAAGCCAATGGAATAAAAGGGAGTAGCACAACTAAGGAAAAGGGGAAAAAATGGCGGACTGCGTTGTTTGGCGACCCCTGTGAAATGGTTGTTCGACCCCAAATGGGGTCGTGACCCACAGGTTGAGAACCGCTGTGCTATAGGAACAGGATAGGATTGTAGGATAGATTAAGCTTGCTTTTCTCTTATATCATCCTGCAATCTATTATAGTGCAGTTTTAAAATTATGTTGTTGCTGATTATTTTTTAAGTAAGGGAGCAGATACATATTTCTGAGCTCCTTGGAGTTTTGATCTCTAATTAAATTATGTTAGATTAAAAGATTTTAGAACCGGCCTAGCTGGATAACAGATTGAAAAAAATCCATTAAAACTGCCAAGAAAATAAACATACCCGTTAACTAAAACATTAAAACTATCAAATAAAACAGTCCTGGCAAATCATCAAAAAAGAAATTTCCAAGTCTTAATTTGAAGATAATAACTTTCAGATATTTACATGGCAGGATAATCTTAAAATGATGTTAAATAATAGATAGGTTGATATAGAAAAAGTTATTTTCTGAAGTGTAATATTTTTTAAAAGAGGTTGTGGACATATTTATAAACTGAACTGTTAACTCTATTACATTTCTAGATATCATTAAGAAGATGATTTCTCATTATCTAGCATCAGGTAAATTCCCCAGCTTGTTTGAAATACACAACATCAGATCTCTTCAAAAGAAAACCATTCTCTTTTTATCAAATTTAAATCCCTGTGTTTGCTTAATGCAATATCGATAGTAGCTTTTTGGTCTAAAGAACCAAAAATAGAGATGTCAGCTTGTGAGAATGCAGCCATGGCCAATATTTAAGTTAGGAAACTATGATACTATGAGAAAAAAATGATTAGGACAGTAGAAGTCAAAATGATAGAGGAATTTTTTCAGTGGGTTTTTTTTGTTCAGTTCTTCAAACGCCACTTTTCATCATCACCTGAAGGTGCTGGAAAAAGGGATTTTTGCACATGCACAAAAATTGCATCCAGCTAGTCAACCACCAGAGAAGGTTCCAAAATGATGTCAATTATCTTAACAAGAAATGTTTTGCCTTACAGGTAAAAACATCCTGTTAGGCTTGAAGCACTTAAGGAAGCATACAACTGCTAGGCCTAGGTGTACTAAAGATGGCTATATAGATAGTCCTTAATTTACTAATTGTTCTTTCCAGCAAGAGTCAAAGCTTCCCTTCTTGCTTCAAATGATAGCCTGGCTGCTTTTACAATCCATTGCCATTCACTCAGAATCATAATATGACCTGGCAATTACAGGGCTATCATATTTTTTAAAAAACAAAAAACAACTTGTTAAGGAAGGAATATTCTCTGAAAAACTGAACTGTAGCTTGAAATCTGGTTGGGGTTGGACAAGATATTTTTATATATACTGTATTTTAAGAAATGAGCACTCACTTTGTAGATATAAAATAATTCAATAATTTCATTCTGTTTTTGAAGAATACAGATGTACCTGTGACTATTGTAAAGTTGCTTTAGAGATAACACATTTCTCTCAGCATATTATGGAAAGCCAAGCATGTATTATGGAAACTAAAACATATGCAGATGCTAAGAAGCATATCACAAACATTATTGAAATCCTAGAAAGTAAGTTGACCTTAAAGAATGGTGGGTTTTAGTTTTTGGTTCTATTTCTGTGATGTTCATCATGATTTTGGTAGTGGCTTCCTCTTTTGATGCATAATTAGAAGATGAATTCCTGCCAGCAAGAACATAGTAGTGAATTCTCTTGTGGAATTAGATGTGTGTATCTGGTTGAAAAGGTGAAAGAGGTCTCTTGTCCATTTCATTTAGCTTTAGATTGAGCTTTGCATCAGACTATCTATTGGATTTTCAAAATCCATCTGCCCTCACTAAACAAAACAAATTCAATGGCAATTAAAGTATATATGTGCATATATCTATTCTTTTCCTCTCTTTTGAGATAAGCAGCATTATACAAAATGCAAAGTGAAGTGTTGTTTTTCTATATAGTAATAGAAGAGAAATAATAAGCAAAAAATAATAATCCATGTGATAAGAAGAAAAGGAAATATGTTAAACAGACTAACAGCAATACCATTCACTATACATTTTCAGATCTTTGTATCCTTGCCTGTGAATTGATTCATTAATTGAAACAACTAAAGTGCCCTTTGTAGGAGTGCCTCCTTGGGGGGGAGAGATCCCAAAAAAGAAAGATGTTGGGCTCATTGTATAATCATATAAAAAACTGTGAGGCTTTGATCATGGATGGCATCATAATATTTTGGACTTCCCCCATGGATATCTTTGAGCCTTTCACAATTGTTGGATTTACAAATCTCAGAATTCTCCAGCCAATAATCTGCTAACATTGTTCTATCTGCATCTATCTTAGTTCTAGTTTGTTTTATAAAATTTAGTAAATTCAGTTTGGAAGAACTTTTGGAAGTATTATCTGGTATGCAATTTCAGAAGTATGAATAGTAGAGGTTCCAAAGATTTGATGGCATGGTAAGTTTAATGCTTTAATCTATTATTCCCATCTCTAATTATATTCAAAAGACAAAGGACCCAGTGATACCTACAACTTTTGTTGTAGCCTGAAGGAAATCGATTATTCTCTAGACCCAACTGAAAGTGGAAAACATTTTTTGAAACTGCTTGAGATTTTACAATTAGAATTTACAGGTAAATATGATTCACAATGTATATATTTTAAAACTGTCCTACAGACCACTTCTTTCCATTGTGTTTGATGGTGCTTAAGTTCTTCCTGTTGTAATAATAATAATTGCACAGTCATCCAGATATTCAGACTGGGTTTGGCATTTTTGTCTACCTATCAAATCCTCACCAAAGACCTGGGATAGGCAGATCTGGATGTTGAATAGAGTTACAGCTGTCTTTTGCAATTGACTAATGGCAAATTTGTCAATGCCAATGGTGTTCAAGTGGTGCTCCAGTGCACCTAAGCCACCTATTACTATTGGTACTACCCTTGCTTGCCTTTGCCACAGTTCTATTTCTGTTTGTATGTCTTTGTATTTTGTTATCTTCTCCAGTTCTTTCTTGTCTATTCTGCTGACTCCAGGCACTGCCACGTCCACTATTCAGATGATGACGACTACTACTACCACTACTACCACCACCACTACTACTACTACTACTATCTCCCCTGCTTTCTATGTTTCTTACAACAATAACCCTGCAAAGTTAGGCTGACAGAGTGACTGGCTCAAAGTCAACCAGTCAGTTTTTAAGGGTGGCCTAGAACATACAGAATTAGAATAGGTTCTTTCTACAAGAACCTCGGTACAACTGTTTTCTTGTAAAATCATTTTACTGCATATTAACTTTTCATCTCAGTGACATTCTTTTAAATTATTTATATATTTGCCCAGCTGAAAAAAAAGGAATCATCAGTCACAAAGAAATTACAACAAGTAAGTATCATATATACTGTACATTAATGTCATCCTCATGGTCATTTTCATGGCTGAATTAGAAATAAATTTAGAAATATAAAAATGTAGTTCTAAGATTTATATTGTTTGCTTTTTTGCCACAATGATTTGGATATTTGTTATTTGAATTAGTTTCCTTAAATTTTTCATTCTCTGTTTTAAATTGTGAGGAAAAAAAGTAACTTGGAACTCCCTAAAATTGTATCTAGATATAGCTGTAAGCTATTCACCTTAAGTCTTGAAAATACATTCATAAAGATTTATTTATGTCTGAAAGACTACATCTGCTTTGAAATTCTGGAAAAAAGAGAGTTAAAATGAATAGGATGGATCAGGGAAGAATGATTTTGATTTGAATTTTCCCTTTGTTGTACAATTTTTCTCCAATCGATCTATAGTCACCCACTGAACATATCAAATAATCTAGCTTAATGACATGATTGAATTGTCTTTGCTTTGAATCTTCAAATCAAATCCTTGCACAGTCTTGGTTATTTAGCAATATATGGAACTTTAATAAATAGATAAATTCCAACATATGTACATGTATATCACTGCTGTATGACCTTGCTACTTGCTACGCACATTTATTGCCCTTTCCCCTTGCAGACCACTGTTCCTCTAGAATTCTATAATTGAAACTATTGGAATCCATAAACAAAGTTTAAAGAAAAGGAAGAAAAAAACAGAACACTGTCATTTCAGATATGCCAATTTTTCTTTTAAATGTTTATTAACAGTACTGCCATTCTCATGACCTTGCCACATTCAGCTGTTAAAAGAAAATTCATAAAACATAACTGCAGCCTCTAATGACTATTTGCAGTTTTATTCTGCTGTGGTAAATGAATTATTGAAACAGGTTTTATCTTTCCATTTGCTAAATATGTATAGCCCTAAAATGACTATTGATATTTTTTTATTAAATTGCATTTTATAGTGCAGATAGATAAGGAAATGTATTATATATTTCACTGGTGTGTAGTCATATTATCTATAATCAATTAAAATTCAGTTGAAATATACATAAAATTAGGTCAGATTGTATGCTTACCTTTATTTCTTTTGGGGGCACTTTTGACCTCAAAAATAACAAACTACTTTTTCTACAGCCTTTATGTCAGAAAAAGTTACAGCACCCTCAGTGTTAATTTACTACCAGAATTTCAGAACTAGCCATCACAACTAATGTTTATAATATTAAAAGCTGTTCATTAAAACACTTATTGCTCTGATTTCATACTTCTGATAGTCATAAATGAACTGGAAGAGAGTACAGAGAAGATTACTATGCAGGAGTTAAGTTGGGAGTTCCCCATACAACATCTTGGACATGGTGAGCTCATCATTAATATTCTAGGTAGATGATAAATAGCTTCATCTTTAACCATCAAGTTGACCAATTTATGGGATGAGAAAATTATGGAGTGTAATAGTGTTTTCTAGACTAGGACTGTGGTTTAAGCTTTGAAACATGTGTCAAAGAATAAACTCAAAAAAAAAAAAAAACCTAGTGAAGTTGGGACAACTACATTAATTTCCTTTTATAAATAATACATTTAATTAAATATTCAATTAAATATTATTTTCCATGCATATTTTAATACTTTCATCTTTCTTTTATATGCAAAGTATTTACCAAATTTTGATTTTTACATTTTTAACCAAGGTTTCAGGCTAGCTATTTGTAACGAAGCCACAGTAGCAAGTTTGTTTTTCATAGGTTCCCTAGAAAATTGTGATTGTGTATATGGGATATAAGTACTAAATGGAAAAATATTTAAATGAATGGATATTGTTTTGTCATATTATTAATATTATTGTTATTATTTTTCAGATATATGGGATATCGTGAAATTTATGTACAAAACTATTACTTGTATCTGTAAATGGAAATGGGGAAACATCTCTAACTATACTTACAAATGCAGTAAGAATAACTTAAATTAATATGAATGCATATGCTTTTAAATTTATTTCTCTTCAGTTGTGACAATCTTTTATGATAAGAGAAAAAATGACAAATACATTCTTAAGTTAAAATTAAATCCTATTAATTACACCCATACAGTTTTCTTGGCAGGGTTACAGAAATGACTTTCCTACTTAAGAAATTACCTAGTAATTTCTTTTTTCTTTTATAAAAAGTTTTTTATTTATAATACAGTTAAAAAAAAGAGGACATAACATAACATTCCAGTATAAATATTGTGAGCCGATATGGACAGGCTCACAATGGAACTGAAGGACAAGACTGAATCAGATTACTTCAAAATCTGGGACAAATTCTACTATTGGTGTGAATCAAGGAGGATTGTCCGGGTTATAGTCTAGTGTTAAGATAGAAATACATATAATTTTAGGTTAGTAAATAGAGAAATAAATTAGATATTGTATAGAAATATATATATGTATATATAGAGATAAAGAACTATATGTAAGAAGAGGAACAAATTGTTAGAAATATTTATATTGGAACGTTACGTTATGTCCACTTTTTAAACTCTATTATAAATAGAAATTACCTAGAAATTTCCATGTGGTTCACATCCAAATACTAAACATGCTTAAATCTGATTACTTTCCAAAATCAAGCAAGAATGTCTAGATCAGTGATGGCAAAACTTTTAGAGACGGAGTGCCCAAACTCCAACCCAAAACCCACTTATGCATCGTCGGGTACTGGGTGGGTATGGCCCATTGGGTGGGCATGGCTGCAGTGGTAACGGATGGGACTAAAAAGTTCAATCAGTCAATTCCAACTTTGCGAGATCTTTTTTTTTCCTGCGAGAAGTTGAAATTGACTGATTGATTGAACCTTTTTTTTTTGTACACGAAAAAAAAGGCCTAAAGCGAAAAGGTTTTATAAAACCCAGCTGAAGGCCTAGGACTGGGGCAATAGTGCACATGCCCACAGAGAGGGCTCTGAGTGCCACCTCTGGCACCCGTGCCATAGGTTCGCCACCATGGGTCTAGATGCTTTAAACTATTGAGATAATTGTGAGGTGAATATATATGTTTACTTTTCTCAGCAAGCAAAGCAAAATTAAATGTTGTCTAGCATATTTATTTATTTATTTATTTGCTTTTTACACCACCTTTATTACTTTATTAATAATTCAAGGTGGTGAACACATATGATGCTCCTTCCTCCTCCTTCCCCTCTCCACTAAACAAACCTGCGAGATGGTTTGTGCTGAGAGAAAGTGATTAGACCAGAGTCAGTCAGTTTTAATGCCTAAGAAGGGACCCGAACTCACAATCTTTTGGTTTCTAGACCTAGCATCTTAACTACACCAAATTACTGGCAACATAATATTTGAAGAACATGTTTAAAATGCCAACTAATACAGTAGTTCCCTGACATGTGGAAGTGGAAGTGGTGGAAGTGGCAAGAAGGTGACAAGCAACAGGGAGAAAGCAGAACTATTTAACTCATTTTTTGCATCTGTCTTTACACAAAGGGAAAAAACAGACCAACCTATCAAAAATAGTGCCACAAAAAACAAAACAGAAACACAAGTTAAGATAGGCAAGAAAATCGTTAGTGAGCACCTGTCCAGCCTAGATGAGTTCAAATCGCCAGGACCAGACGGATTACACCCCAGAGTTCTCAAGGAACTGGCAGATGTGATATCGGAGCCACTGAACTATATTTTTCAAAGATCCTGGAACACAGGGGAACTACCAGAGGACTGGAAAAGAGCTGATGTAGTTCCCATCCTCAAAAAAGGAAAAAAAATGGATCCAGGAAATTACAGACCTATCAGCCTGACCTCAATACCTGGGAAGATCCTGGAAAAGATAATCAAACAACGAATCAACGAACACCTAGAGGCAAACAAAGTCATTACTAAAAGCCAACATGGGTTTGTCAAAAATAGATCATGCCAGACAAATCTTATTGCATTCTTTGACCAAGTGACAAAATTAGTGGATCAGAGGAATGCTGTGGACATAATTTACTTGGACTTCAGTAAGGCATTTGATAAAGTAGATCACAACCTACTACTTGACAAGATAGAAAAATGTGGGGTAGACAGAACCACCACCAGATGGATCCGTAGCTGGCTGACCGGCCGTACTCAGCGAGTGGTCCTCAATGGAACTGCATCTATATGGAGGGAAGTGTGTAGTGGGGTGCCCCAGGGCTCTGTTCTGGGCCCAGTACTCTTCAACATCTTCATCAACGATTTGGATGAAGGGATAGATGGGGAACTCATCAAATTTGCAGATGACACCAAGCTGGCAGGAATAGCCAACACTCCAGAAGACAGGCTTCAGATACAGAAGGATCTGGACAGACTTGAACACTGGGCACTAACTAACAAAATGAAATTCAATGGTGAAAAAAGCAAGGTTCTACATTTAGGCAAGAAAAACCAAATGCACAAGTACAGCATAGGTGGCACCATGCTCAATAGTAGTAACTGTGAGAGGGACCTCGGAGTCCTAGTAGACAATCACTTAAATATGAGCCAGCAGTGTGCTGCAGCTGCCAAAAAGGCCAACACAGTGCTAGGCTGCATTAACAGAGGGATAGAATCAAGATCACGTGAAGTATTAATACCACTCTTACAATGCCTTGGTAAGGCCACACTTGGAATACTGCATCCAGTTTTGGTCACCACGATGTAAAAAAGATGTTGAGACTCTAGAAAGAGTACAGAGAAGAGCAACAAAGATGATTAGGGGACTGGAGGCTAAAACATATAAGGAACGGTTGCGAGAATTGGGTATGTCTAGTTTAACGAAGAGAAGGACAAGGGGGGACATGATAGCAGTATTCCAATATCTCAGGGGCTGCCATAAAGAAGAGGGAATTAAGCTATTTTCCAAAGCACCTGAAGGCAGGACAAGAAGCAACGGGTGGAAACTCATCAAGGAGAGAAGCAACCTAGAACTAAGGAGAAACTTCCTGACAGTGAGAACAATTAATCAGTGGAACACCTGCCTCCAGAAGCAGTAAATGCTCCAACACTGGAAGTTTTTAAGAAGAGACTGGACAGCCATTTGTCCGAAATGGTGTAGGGTTTCCTGCCCGAGCAGGGAGTTGGACTAGATGACCTCCAAGGTCCCTTCCAACTTTACTACTATTACTATTACTATTACATCCAAAGTATGAACCAGTTAAAAGAAATAATTTTAACAAAATGGCTACTGGATAACTGTGTTCTAATGCCATGAGCAAAGATGTACTTAAAAAGTCAGTTTCTAAAGAGTAGCAATGGAGTAAATCTTCATTTATGTGCTTCCTAATCACTGAATTGGATTAGATAAGTATCTGGAATTATCTAAAAGAACTCATTTTATGTGCTTAAACCAGAAAAAGTTCATTGTAGACATTTGATGGGATTTGGTACAATATATTTAGAAGTGATTGTTAATGTAAGTATAACACTAGAATAATATTACAATAACTTATCAATCATTTTGAATTATTTTATTTTGTACCCAAGAGAGGAAAGGATAATGCTTATCAGAGCTAAGAATTTAGATATATGGGAGAATGAGCCATTTTCATGGTTCCAGATTAGGTTTTTATCATGTAACTGAATATTCAAAGTGATCTCTATGGATAAATGATAAAGAAAATATTTCGTTCTCTGCCCTTAGTTGACCTGAAGGACAAAAACATGACTGATAAGACAGATATTCAGTTGGCAGATGCTGGCATAGTCATAAATTCTGCTTACCCCCTTATCTTGCGTCCAGAAAGAAAAGTGGAACTCATTCTGTCTTTTGATTTTAGTGAAGGAGATTGTTTTGAGGTAAGTTTTTCTTGTTGGTATTTTATATTCTTTTTATAATAAGTATATTTACTTTGAGATACTAACTATATTGTTCAAGCTGAAATTTAATGACACATTTTAGGAGTTAGTCATAGTAACTTTCACCCTGAGGCAAATCAGTTTCATAAATTGCTTCCTTGTAAAAGTGCAGTGCTTCTTGATAGAAAAGGATGGAACCATCCTTCTTTGAGTGCTCATTCCAATTTAAGATCCTTTCTATACATGTATCATGCCTGTGCTATTGAGAGACAAGACATATCTGCTCTGAGGGGTCCCTGGTGCTCCCCGAGCTTGCTCGTTTTCTGGCAGATGTTTCATTACCCAAACTAGGTAACATCATCAGTGCAGTTTGCAACTATCTGCTCTCTCTTGCTAATTAAAAGCAGGACACATATTTGTTTCCAAGAGTTATTTTAAAGCAGATGTTCACTTGAATGATCAATGAAATGAATCACCCTCTCAAAGCTCTGCATATCCCAGAAGAGACATCAATTAAGCTCTCCTTTTTGCACAAATTTATCTAATGTATGAATACCATCCCTATTGGTAGAAAGGACTTCTTTGCCATATCCAAATCTATACTTTTCAAAATGTCATGATGCAACTGACAGCTGAAAAATACATTCAAAATGTATTCAAAATGTACTTTTGTATCAAAATGTCTGTGTTAAGTAATAGAAAACAGAAATGCAACAAATCACATAAAAATAAATTGCAAAAATAGATGAATAGATCTAACTCTAGATTTAAAAATGGATTAATAAACAGAGAAAACTATCTGCATTTAGTCTTTTTATAGAAAAAAACAAAAAACAAATCTCCTGAATATCTGCACAATTTATCTTGACATAAACTTTTGAGGATCATGATATACTTCATCGGGTACACAGAATATAGTTCTAAGAAAATACATACACATATGCTGCTGTTATTGGAACAAAGGAAACTGGAACAGATCCTATTTATGGGATCCTATAATAGCATATTGTTGCATTGATGAAACGCTCACAATAATCAAAGTAGGTGAGAAATTGTGTACATATTTTAATGCATTTTAGCTTAACTGTTTAACGATTAAATTAGTCTTATTCTCAAATTTGAAGTCAGTGAGAAAGGGTCTAAAAAACTGACATGCTGCTTTTTGGGTTGTGCAATTTCTGATATCAGATATTTGGGGGAGAGCATAGAGGCTGGTCAGTCTACCTTTTGTGTGTATTTAATTGGACTACAATGGAAGATTTTATTATGATTGAACTATTGCAAGTAAATACATGATGCTGCTTGTGAAGACAATTTACAAGAGGCAGCTGGTGTGGAAACTGGTAGAGGTTAGCTGGTAAAACCCAGTATTGTACAATTACAGCTCTTTTAGATCATTATAATCAATTCCAATAGGCTTTTGGCTCTAATTTAAAGTGCTAGCCATTATCATAAAGCCTTCTATGGTGGAATACATGTGAAACACCTCACAATGTGTGATTCTTTTTGCTTATTCTGTACATTGACAGAAGGCCTACTACATCTTCTGCCTGGAAGATGCAGGGACATGGACAAGATGTCAGGCCTTCTCAATAATAGTCTCTGGAATATGTTCTCCCCAGAAGTATAGTTGGCTCCAAATCTCATGCCAGCAAGGCCCTGGAAACATTTATTCCAATAAGACTTTGATTTATAGTGTGGTGTGGTACAGTGTACAATCCAGAATTTTAAGTTTGGGCTGGTATACAAAAATTGTGAAACAAACCAATATGTGTTCTTATGGACTAACCAGAGATCAAGATTTCTCATTAGGAAGCAGCACTTCATAATAGTTAGCTTTCCATTGCATACTAAACTACAATGTGACTTGCTAACCTGCAACTCAGTGTGCCGTGAAAGCCCAACCAGTATGGTCAATATATGATTCTGTTATTATTTCAGCTCAGGTATTTTAATTACTTCAGAATACCTCACCTGGTTATACATACTCAGTACATTCTGACATAAATTTGTTTCTCTCTTAAACATTAGTAATTTTTATTCAAAATATATTAAGAGAAATACCTATGAAAACAGGTAAAAAAATTCCTAACATAATGTCAAAATTAATCAATGATCAGATAAAATGGAAAATATGGGAAGCCAAAATTGGAGCTTTATTCATCACTGCACTCCCTGTCACAGGCCTTAGTCAAAGATACTATTCTTAGTACTTTTCCTTCATGTTTTCTGTTGTGTGTCCTCCTTCTTGTCTCATCCTCTTTCATTCTTAAATCATACAAGCTGCTGCCATTGGTGGGATTCAACTATGTGAACAACTAGTTCTCTGTGTGGATGCTGCTTCCGGAAATCCGTTCTAGGCCTGGGCAACAAAAAATTAGCTACCGGTTCTGCCGAACTGGTGTGAACCAGCTTAGTCCCACCACTGGCTGCTGCACTGTTTTAAAAATTAAAAAAAACAAAAAACAGTGCCAATCCAGTTCAGATATCAATTTTCTCTCTTGGTCTATTTTACTTGGACTAGATTGTTTAGTATCTTACTATAACTGATTCATGGCAGACTCATTCTTTTTTGCATAGATACAATCCCTCTCAGTGTAGACATCTCATCAGTAGTATAGAGTCCTGCAGTTTATTAAGTATAACTTTTCCTTCTTCTTCTCTTCCCACAGACTATCAAGAAAGCAAGTCAATACTGCAAGGAAAACAATCTTCCCTTTCCTGAAATTGATGCCCTAAATTTAGACAAGGATAAAGAAAACCCTGAAGACTGTTACATCTTCAGGGGCAATGGTGGTCCAACTGTCATGCACTTTCCACTTTTCAACAGAGTAAACTGTGCAGGTACATTACAGGTTCTTAATAAGTAATCCAAAGTGAATAGGTCTCAGTCTTCCATAGACAAAATAAGGAGCACACTTTGTAACTATTTATTTCCCATATTCCAGGATCAGTTTGACACGATCAGTTTGATGATCTCTGAGCAAAAAGATTAAAATTAATACCTTTTTATGATGTTTAGCAGTAATTTACCATTCAGATAAATTCCCCAAACTGGATTGACAGGTTGGATTGGATTGGATTATGGATGTAGCTTTAATTACCCTGTTTGATCATAAAAATGTTGCTATTTTATATAATTACCGTAATATTATGTTATTTTGCTATGGAAATCTTTCCAAAGGTTGTTTTCTAATGCTTATAGAATGCCTTTTCCTAAGTCCTTAAAGAAGCCCTAATTGTTTCAAAGGATTTTTATCTCCTTTTATATTTTATTGAATTTATGTTGAAGGGTACCAAACAAAAGATAGGTATAGATTTATTTCTAAGCTGAAAGCATATTATTATAGGAAATGTTTGCTTGCTTATTGAATTTCATCCTTTTTGTTTTCCAAGGTAACATATCTGACTGGCACAAAAGGTATAAAACCTCCAACCTATCTTATTCAGAACAAGATATTAAAAATCTTCTAAAAGCAGAAAAAACAAATGTGAGAAATAATACTAAAAAAATCCAGCAAATGTTGAAAGCTGTAGCAAATCCTTAACAACTCTACATCCTGAATCTGAATGTTGATATTCTTTTTATTTCAAAGACAAAGAATCTTGAAGAACTCCAGAATTAAGGATTATTTTATTCAAATATATAATTTGTAGCTAAATAATCAGTATATTTTAATAGAATATTTTTTTATTTTGCAAATGCTTTTCTAGATAAAAATATTGAATATGATAATTAAAACTCTGTTTCTTCTTATTACTATATAGATATTCACATTTATACACTCCTTTTTATAAGTCTATGTTTTTCCTATTTGCACAGATGCATGTAGCTGGAAAACAAATGAGGGTAGTATAGTTATAATAAGTTGATGGTTAAAAATATGACTATTCTTATAGTAATTCCCTCTTGATGATTGTTTTTCCAAAGGCAGTGAGTATTGATCACTAGAAGAATCCATATACTTGTTCTTTTGCCATTGTCCATGTAAAGGTATTTTAGAGCCCCTTCCTGAGGGAGGAGGAATCAGTGTCTAATTTTGCTTCCAAAGTTACAAAAAGGATGGCAAAAAAATGTATACCATTGCATTGTATCCATTAGAATGACAAGATATAGTAGGTGTATATATTGAGAAATAAAAAAATGTGAAATGCTTTTAAAAAATATTTTATTTGTTATTTTTATTTTCAACATATCAATACTCTTTGGCAATTTAATAATTTCCCCACAATTTTTGATATCAGTAGTACATACAACTTATAGCCATTATTTTGTGTTAGCTAGTTTATGAAATTGATGAAATAGAAAATGTAACAGAAATTGAATGAAGCCTATCAAATAACCAATAATAGATTTTTAATTATACAGAATTACTTTACAGACAAAAAAAAATCCTGTTTGATTTAGGTAAATAGGCTAAATGCATTATAATCTTAATTTTTTTATCAGTGGCTATTTTAGGCAAAGCAACAATATGCCAGATCAGACAATCTTGCACTTTACAGATGCATATAAATTTGTGTTAATAATTTTAAAAATTAGTTACTTTTTCCACAACATGAACATAAAACTGTTCACATTAGGATGGTTTTAAATTGTTATCATCTACTATTATTTTTGTTGGTTAATGATCAAAATAAAACTTAACAGAGTGACTAATCCGTTTTGCTTATTTCCTTTTGCAATGAATTCTTCTTCCTCAGGATCCAAAGAAACTGAAAGTATAAAATTTACTAGATACATATCTCTCCTGTCTTATAATAAAGAAATCTTTATACTGTTAAAATAGGAAATGTCCTAATTGGTTAAACCCAAGTAGAATTTACCATAGGAAAGCTATTTTGGACAGGTAGTTTTTAAGGCACTCTGGGGAGAGATTTAAGGTTGTATACTGTTGCTTTTTATACTTCATTCTTAAGATTATTTATTTGTCTAACTACTCTACTACTAAGAGGCTCCCTGAAGTATGACAATAATTCATTTTATGCAGATTGCACTATGATGAAAAGAATATCTATTGGCAAAATTTAATCTCTCTATTTCTCTCTCTACCTCCCATCTCCCCATCACTCTGTCCATTTATCTGTGTCTGTAAAGTTTGTCTCTGTATCCAATTATTATTATTTAAATAAAGATGCTAAATGATAGAGAACTAAATATCTCAACAATGATAATAATATCATTGAATAATTTTTATAAAAGTTTCTGCAACAATTATTCAAATATTTGCCTATTAATTTATAGCACATACAGAGACCAATTATAGTACTTGGTACTTCAAGAAGCAGAAGCACAAAATAATGAAATGCATTTTAGATTTAGACATAGAGATCTATTATTTGAGTGTGCATATAAGCATTAAATAACAATATGTCCTAATTGGATCATCTTCCAAATCTTATATTTTTCTGAAAAAAGGGAGATTCATTAAAAAAACAAGAGAAACATATTTATTCCTATGTATCTCAGCCTTGCAGTGTATTTTCAATTAGCTTATTTCCAATGGTTGGCATTGTGATGTGTCATGTACAGTAAAAGTCTTTCCAACCCAGTTCTCAAGGCATCTTTTACTTCAATATTTCTAAGACTATATATAAGAAGATTAATCATGGGACTCACAGCTGTATAGAAGACAGAGAAGAATTTCTTCACTTGTGTTAATTTCTTGGTCCTCGAGAGAAGATAGATGAACATCAGTGTTCCATAATACAAACAAACTATTATGAGATGAGAAGAACAGCTGGAGAAAACTTTTTGCCTTCCAGTAACAGATGGCATTCTCAGGATAGTAACAAGTATGGAAATATACAAGGTCACAATGAGAACAAATGGAGGCAGGGTAAGTATATAGGTAAATACAAATGAAAATAACTCAGTGAGGTAGGTGTCACTGTTGGAGATTTCTCTGATGGCAGAAAGAACATCAAAAAAATAATGATCAATTTCATTGGGGCCACAATAAGATAACAATAACATATTCCAAGTTAAGGTTATTCTCACAATGAAACCAGTTGTCCAAGATATAGCTACTAAGTAGAAACTGAGCTTGCCACTCATGAGAGTAGTATAATGAAGTGGCTTGCATATGGCGATGAATCTGTCATAACACATCATCCCTAGAATGTAGCATTCTGCACCACCTAGGCAGGCATATATAAAAAACTGTATAAAACAGGATTTGAAAAGTATACTATTATCTCCTGTAAACAGAATTTACAACATTTTAGGTATAACTGTTGAACTGCAGTAGGCTTCCATAAAAGCCAGATTTGCTAGGAAAATGTACATAGGAGTGTGGAGATTTTGATTCATCACAACCAAAATGATAATGAGGAAATTGCCAGTCAATATATAAATCAGTAAGAATACTGAGAAAAGAAGTCCTTGCACTTTTGAGACATCTCCAAGTCCAAGCAGTATGAATTCAGAAACAATAGCATGATTTCTCATATTTGCTGCATCTAGAGAAAACAAGCCATTTCATCAGTTTTACCAAGAGAATTTAGACTGGAGACAAAGAATTAAAATTATTGTAACTGAGAATGTGGATAATTATGAAACTGTTTAAGTAGCAATGTTTAAGTAAAAGTAAGATATATCAGATGAATACATGCAATATTTGGAATTTTGAAGTTCATGTCCTAGGTGTTCTCATAAAAAGTTGAACAGAATGGATTGTGTTCAGTTTACACAATATTAACTTATCAGAACTTGAGTTAGAGAAGTTGAATTCTACAAAACCTCTACACATGACAACATATTGTGCATGCACAGAGAGAAAACAGAGAAAGTTGTTCCTTATCAGATTCCCTTTAGCTTTTATGAGCAGTAGATACATTTCCAAGGAATGTTTATCAATGCACATGGGGGATTAACAGACTTAGAGATAGATAGGAAATAAAAATGATATCAGTTCCCATGCTTACTGAATTAAAATAATATTTCAAAAGTCTGATGGGTTTGATGGACCATTGTTTTCAGTGAGTCATAAAGATGATATTTATTCTCTAGGACTATACAAAAGTAGAAATTGGAACATTCTTTCTCAATTCCAGTGTTGGCTATTTTTATTTACCTGTACCCCTTTCACATTACTATCAATTTCAAAAGCTATTATTAGTCACCAAAAAAGATTCCAATACGTAAATAAAAATTTGTGGACTGTAGTTTAAAGATATGGCTCTAGAAAAAGCAATTTCATGATGCCCTATTATTTCATTTATTCAATTCTTTGAGAGGAGGAGGAGGAGGAGGAGGAGGAGGAAGAGGAGAAGAAGGAGGAAGAGGAGAGATGCTATTGCTGATGCTTGCTACCTTAAACAGCCAACATATATTACAATGATTAAAAAAACACATTTTTCATGGGTCCTCAGTTAACTCAGAAGTGTTTTCTTCTTTGTATCCACAGTATCCATCCTACATATTTCTCTGGCACCTGGAGCCCTCTAAAAGTTTTCTCCCCCACCTAAAAGAGTGACAGATATCTCTGCCTCACTCTCCTCAGTGATACTGTGTTGTTATCATGTCTTTTCAAGAAATACAGAAATATAAAAATGCAATAGTAGTGAATATCCGTAGTTCAGGTGTAGGATGAGGGTGAAGGTTCATTCTCTGAGCTTGTGGGTTATTTTCTGAACATTTCATTATCTGGCTAGGTAACATCTTCAGCAGAGTTTAGGGGATATCAGTGTATAATACCGTATATTCCGGCGTATAAGACGACTTTTGAGAGCGATGAAACAGCCTCCGAACTCGGGGGTCGTCTTATACGCCGAGTCGTCTTATACGCCAGAAATAAACGTTATTTCTGGCGTATAAGACGACTTTCTAGGCATGCGACTCGGCGTCTATCATCTTATGCACCGGAAATAACGTTATTTCCGGTGCATAAGATGATAGACGTCGAGTCGCATGCCTAGAAAGTCGTCTTATATGCCGGAAATAACGTTATTTACGGCGTATAAGACGATCGATGCCAAGTCGCATGCCTAGAAAGTAGTCTTATATGCGACTCGGCATCGATCATCTTGCAACTTGGCGTGATCGTCTTGCGACCCGGCGTCGAACTCGGGGGTCGTCTTATACGCCGGGTCGCCCTATACGCCGGAATATACGGTATATAAAAATGTAGAAAGGGAGAGAGAGACAGAGAAAGACAGAGAGAGAGACAGAGAGAGAGACAGAGAGACAGAGAGAGAGAGAGGCAGAGAGAGAGAGAGAGAGAGAGAAAGAAAGAAAGAAAGAAAGAAAGAAAGAAAGAAAGAAAGAAAGAAAAAGATTTCCTTTTTAATAAATAGTTTTATTGAGTTTTATAAAGGTAATAAGGGGATAGGGTCAAAAAGGGTCAGACAACGGTAAACATACAAAATTAAGTAGAATTAGCGCAGATGATTTTAATAACAAACATACATATTGTAAATTTATTGAAAGAATTTTTAAATGGAAGAAAAAACTATTATAAGCTAATATAACGTGAGAAAAGGAAAAAAAAGAAACAAAGCTAAGGGAAAGCTAAAAGCAAAAAAAGAACTAGAAAGGAAAGAATAA